ACGATTCCAAACCATGTACTTCTTATGAATTGAAAATAGCAACATACAATCACCGGTATTTCTTTTTTTTATCTGGAAACGTTTGAGCCGGAATATCACATTGACACGGTTGTTTTAATGGCAGAATTTGTCCTGTATATTAAATTGCCAGCGATCTACGGATGAAAACCAGTTCAAATTATAACATGTTGTCAAAATTATATAAGATCTACATCTAAAGAGGATTTTTATTTCTACAACATAGTATTATACTGTTCTATGTTGGCGTTTGGGTGGTCGAGTGATCTAACTTGTCTGTTTTAAATCATGCAGTCTGTCATTAAGTCAAATGGCGTGGTCTCGATTCCGAGTTTGTACGTGACAATGAGTAGGGTCGTCTTCTCAACCTTGTGGGTATACTTCTGGTTCCCCGGTTTCATTCCACCGCTAAATGGCCAGTACGCGCAAGTGAATTATTGAAATAAAATGGCATAATGTTATTCCCGAAATGAGTGAACGTCTTTCTTTCGCATGGTATGTATTCCCGTCGTCGTTAGCCCGGTTGGAGTAGAGCAGATTTCATTCTGTGTAACATATTTCCTTTTAACTATTGTGTTTTAAAGTCGCATTTGCCCATGGAACAATGATGTATAGATTCTAATCTACCATAATGTCTCAAACACCTTATAATATCTTATTATAAACAAAACTTTTTGAATAATATGTCTTACACACCTTGATTAAAAACAATTACAGGGGATGGGGTATTTGTTACTAAACTAATTACAAGATAGTTTTTATTGATAAATTAGAAATTATCGTGCTATTATTTTATTATCTGTATATCGATTGAATTAACTCAATGTTTTCGTCAACTGTTCGTTTAGTTTAAAAATATTAGCTTTTTATCGATTTCAAGCGAATAATACTTTTGTTTTCATTGATTTCAAAGCAATAATATTTTGTTTTTATTCTTTTTATCTAGCTAGCGAATCTAATCGCCTATCATTTGGCATAATCCACTTTATTACGCACAATAAAATCTCGACTAATTCTGTTCGTGTTGTCTACGGAGTTGAACGATAGCTCAATATTCCTTTCATGACAAACGAATTAAATCAGGGGGAGTGAAAGGAACAGCGACTTATGTCGATATATTTAATTCAGTGTATATGAAACATATTTGATTACTTTTTACACTCGAGTGAAGTAAATCCAGTGATATTCTGCAAAGTTTTGTAACAATATTTGATTAATCTAGAAATAAAATGGCTGGTTATTACTTCCAAGATTTGTGCTTTTATTGGAGTCTTTTCGCTGCTATAAATGAAAATCTCTCAGATAATCAATTTGTAATTAGAATTTCAAGATCGTGTTCAGTACGCATTCTGTAAGTTCTGAAAAAAAGAAATGTAGTTTTAAAGTGGATACAGATAGTTTTGCATGATTTTAAAGAGGCGTTATGTAGCGCTTTCGTGATAAAAATATAATTTTCAGTTTGACGCAAATAACCCTGGCAAAATAATATTGGTTTTCTCCGGGTCCTCCCCCCCACACACACACACGGCTTAAGACCCCTACGCGCAAGTGAATTATTGAAATAAAATTGAAACATATTATTATGTTAATGTTAATCTCAAAATGACCCAGTGGATGTTACCCTCTAACTCAATATCATCTAAAATCTTCAACATTGAAAGCACGAATTATTTGTCAATTTAAATGAACGTTGATGCCGTGATCTTACCGGGAAAAGATGGGCTTCTGATATCCAATATCTTACCATTGGTACACAACGCCGGATTAACCATGGTGGGGGCCCTGGGGCCTGGAACATGTGGGGGCCCCTGATCACCGACCGCAGAACTGTGACCGGGCCGGCCACCGCGAGCGCCAAAGTCGCGAAGCCCCGCAGAAATTGGAGGCCGGAAACGTGATTTCCTGGCATTTCAGGCACTTGTGTGGAGCCATTTAGAAGTACCTTCCCCAGAAAAAAATAAAATTCTGCCACAAAATTAGCGCATTCTGGCGTTATTTCAGTGGACCAATCAATGCGAGTGCTATGAAATGATGGCATTTCTAGAGGAGGGGGCTGGACGCAACTGAGATTTTTGTGGGGGGGGGGGGGCCTCTAATGTGGGGGGCCTGTGCCCCATGGTGCCCCATGGTTAAACCGGCGTTGTTGGTACACGAATCGTGTACCATAATGCGTTTCGGCGCCATGTATAACAAGGGATTCGGCTAGATATATTCCACAAGTCATGTCAAACAATGACGCCATATTCTTATCTGGGGAGCATGCACAATAAACACTATCGGTGTAGACTGGAATAACCAGACGCTAGAGATTGCAATTCCATTGAGACTTCTGGCGTATTTCGCCGAACATAACTGATTAGAAATGAAGAAGAAAAAACAGAAACGATTGAATGTAAATCAGTTTACATACATTCATATTTATATGCGTTGCGACCCATTTGTGTCAATTTCTAGGTCCCAAATATTAGCAATCTACATGTAGCTCCTTTAAGCTTATATATCTCACTATAGGCGATTTGAACGTATTATCGGATCAGCAAACAAGATAACTAACAGACGGATAGTTCGATAGCCTTTATTATTCCATTTCCTTGTTTGTCTATACATATGTATATATTAATTTATTCATATATCTGTGAATCTGTTCGGTTTTCGGCCTGACCTTTTGACAAATGAATATCCGCTACGTTTGAGATTCCCGTCATTAATTGAGTATTGTGGGGATTTCGGGGACACTTTCTTAAAAATGTAGTAAAATTAATATAAAAAAAACTTCAAAATATATCAGGATATTTTTCTTAAATTCTAGACGACATAAAATTTACTTTATATACACAAATTTGTATATATACGCTGCCAGTTTGACTATCGAGATTCAAAGCGAACCCATAAACCCTGTCTGCTGCATGTGCGCGATGTTTTAAGATGCCCACCAGTCTGTGGGATGTTGGATTTTAGAAATTAAGACATTTGCTAGAATTTGTTGGACAGCACTGCGCACTGTGTAGAGAATTGAAAAAGGTTTAGGATGGATTTGGTTAAGATCCTTTCAGCATGTACAGGATCTACGTTATATGGACGCTTCTCTTGGTGATGTCACTTATCTTGTAAACATATTCGTTGTTATAATTTCACTCTTTTATTATCTGTTCGGGTAACCAAACGACGATTAAATGTTACAAATTATTTAACGGCCGACTTGAATTCGTGTATAAAAGGGTCTGCTTAATATTATCACAAGATGAACCCGTCTTCATTAGTCTGGTCGGTGCTGAAAAGTCGGATATTGGATTGTTCGTACTTGGTTTTATTTTATTTTTACCTCATTTCATTTCTATACCGTGAAAAACTTAAGGAATGGCAAAATGTCTTTTCAACCAGTACGTAAGTCATTTTAAGACTGACATGTGGTAATGTTTATTTATGTGGTCACGGATCTAAGAATTCAAGAAAATAAGGGAACCAGGAATGATTTGTTATACGCTGCTTAACCAGAGGCTTTACTTCCTTATTGAGTCCCTGATTATTAAACTGAAGTACAAGCTTTGTTATTTGAAAGACACCAAGAAATGGTTTATCTCATATAATGAAATTGTTGACATCATATCCGGATTAAGACCTACAAAAGGGTCCTAAGCACTTACAAGATTTTGGTGCCCCCATATAGTATACAATTCAAAATGTAAACAATAATAAATAACGAAAAATCAATTAAGCACGTGGTTAGAGTTTTCTGAGTTTTTATACACGTTATTATATATTGAGACAAAGAAAGTAACATTAAGAAAATACACAAAATAATGTAAAGCTATTTAAAAGTTCTTAAAGATACATTATGGGAGATAAGATAAAGAGATGGCAGTTCTCGCTATAATAGTTAAAAACTAGATAGTGTAAAGGTAATTTGCTGAAAATTTCAGTCAAATTGATCCACTATGAGCCGAGAAAGAAGCGTGTGAAATTTTTGAATAGTCTCGGTCATCATTACTAAAATCATTAATATAAACAACATAGTCTCGATTATCCACTTTTTCTGATTTAATTATCAGTGGCCGTTAGCGGCATATAGGAATCTAATCCAGCCAACATCGAAGGCTAGCCTTGACATCGAGAGTTTATTATGGTCTGGATAAGTTAATTAATGTCTAATTGATAATTTAGATAACATTTCAGGCCTAAAGAAAGACTTGTAACAAGCAGATTTTGCTCTTGCATAATGCATGTTTAATTATTTTTTAAATTAAATATTTTGATTTTGTCAACTAACAAAGCAGAAATTCTGTGGTGCCCCGCTTCCCATGATGATGCACTAACCTCGTGCTTATTTTGCTTAATGGTTTATTCAGCCCTGGTTGTCGTTGTTACGAAAGAATATTTGTGAGCCTACAGATCGTGTAAACTAGATTAGTTTTGCCAAGGCAGCGTACAATCCACTTTTCTGTCTCCGAATTGCAACGTAGATAATAATTTTGTAATGTAGTGTGTGCGATATAAAATTTTCACTTTTTTGTTAGTTTTGTTTGCTGCCTCTTTTTTTTCTGAAAAATATTCGTGATGCACTCTTAAATTTTATGTATTTGTATATGGGCACTATTCCTAAATGTAAATTTGATCTAAGCAAATAATTGACATAGAAGAAGAATTCAGAGAACGAGAAATAATTTCCATGACAACAGCAGAAAGCATTAAGCTGGAGACGTAGAATTTTGTGTGCCACCCGATGTCTAGTATCAATGAAGCGTATGTTATTTTTATCTGTGTTGACAATTCGAGTGTTAGAGACTTAAATGGCAGAGGAATAATCGATGCCGGGGTTAAGATTAACCTTCAATGACAGCTCCCCACTGTCACAAAACGGTCAAACTGATAAATGCGAGATAAAATATTTTAATGGTGGTTTTTAGTCCCAATTTATTATAAAATCAAGCTCCCATCTACAACAGTTGTCGGCTATAATTGTGACGATATATGTCATCATGTGACCAAGCAGGTACTTGTGACGTCATGTGTCGATCAATCTATAAGCCCCGCCCTACTTGCCAGGATATATGGCTGTAATGAGTAGGTTGATAGTGACAGTGTGTGTTGTTTTGTTGATCACATGTAGCCTTGTTGCTGAGTTCAGTGCCAGTTGATACGGATTTATAAGAGTTTTACAAAGATCAAAATAACGCAAATTGGAGGTGAGTTATTTATTTATGTTTCGTTATTCAACAAACAATACTGTCTCATTGTAGTTATCACACACGCGCAATATTTTATTATTTTATATAAATATATTTAATAAATATTAACCTTTCCAATATATAAATAGTTATTAAACAATTTAGTTGTTTTGTATTCTAAAGTAATATATATTCTAGATATATAAGATAAACTTCTGTTTGTCAATAACATAATATTATTGAAAACTATATACAAACACGTGTTATTGCACCTGTTTATTTTGAGTGAAATATAGTACATGTATATATAATTAATATTCAATAGTTGTTATAGACCTAACCAATATTCCTTTTCAAAATTGTATTTTATAACAGAAAAATGGGAAATCTAATATGTATTGGCAAGTTCATAATGTCAAATAAAAGAAAAATTAATAACATTTTAATATAGCGAATTCGCACGTCCTATCGCCTTTAATGTGTATGTGGATTAACGGGTTATAGGATGATCAGAGATGATAAATTATCTTATATAATATAACCTCCCGATTGAAGTTTATGCTTGCTATCTAGGGATTACGGCTACATGTATTAAGAGCTCACCGTTAAACATTGTTTTAATTAATTGCATCATCAGCTTTTAAACATTAAAATTTCTGCATGAGTTTTATATAATACAATAAATAAACAACGCATGAATTAAACAGATTATTAGGTATTGTAAATTCAGAACCACGCCGTTAATTTTCTTTCAGAAAATAATAAGTAATAATATTCATATTAGTATTTGTGTGTCTAATTGAATGAAGTAAAGATTATGTAATAACATCTTAATGTTACCCCCCCCCACCCTCCACTACTTCCCTTAAATAATATATACACATATGTTCTAACAAGAACGCAAATGGCATAAATATATGTTTTTGTACAATATCGTTGGCGACAACTTCACAAAGCCTTGTGATCTAACTCTCCTCATCAACCTTTACGGTAAAAAAACTCATTAACCGAAAGATAGAGATAATTTGCATAACGTCCTTGATGAATTATTCCAGTAAATAGCCATGAAAAAACATAGTGCCATTATTCGTTCATGGAATTTAAATTGAAGTTGTACATACATAATATAAATAAACACACGCTTTTGGCTGAAAGAAACCAAAAGAAAAAGTAAACAATTTGCGTATTCTTATCGAGTGAAGCAGTTAATTAATTTAAACCAAATTTTTATATGTTCTTGTATACGGTTTGTTAGTTCATATGTAGTTATGACCCGTATATTTAAATAGTTGACAGAATTAAATTTAGATCTAATATTTAAAATCTATTCAGAGAGCTGCCACACAAATGACGATTTAAATAATACTCGAATAGATCACGCAAATGATTATAGTTTGTCAAATAAAAGATGATTTATTTGACAACAAAATATACACAAGAAAATGTTTTTAAAAAGACAACAAATGTCTTTGTCTTAATGCTAAACAAATGGATTTATCAGTTTTCAATAATCATTAAAATATAATTAAATATTTGAGCAATGAAAGAGTACAGATTGGATATTGTAAATATTTTTTTCTGAGACATATTGCATATTTATATTCATCCTTTTTTACGTGGACTTCTGTGGAGAATGTTTGTCATTTATATAAAACTATTATTATGATTACAGAGAAATACTTAATAGATTTCCTTGTACTATAATAAGAATATTTAATTTTAAATACTATTTCTAAGAAAAGGAACATACATAGCTATAGATCAACTCAGAATATTTTTTTACACGTTCTGTAAAAAGTTCTTAATACTTTATTGCATGTTATTAATATATTTCGATACAAGATGTTTGTATATTTCAGAGCCTTTCCTGTAATATCTATAGTATATAAAATTTTGCGCAGTTTTAATTTTGGATTTTAATGATAAACTAGTTTTATATGAAACATATACGATAACATTAGATTTAATTCCAACGGCTGATATACGCTATCCTTCATTTTGATATCGGCTATCTACTTTCAATATATAAATTTGATTATGAACTTCATTTATTTTCAAAGATATTGAAGATGTGAAATTGTATTCCAAAGCAGTAAAATCGATAAAAATTAGTTTGATTATACAATTTTTTCTCCTTTACTAACGCCCATGTACTTTTCACGCAAAAATGACATACACAGATATGTAGACTATAATGGAACCGGCGAGATATCTAGGAATTAACCAATTTGATGTAGGAGGTGCTGAAATCAGAGTATATCTCACAAAAACACAGTAATCATCAGAGGTACTAGATGGGGTTTCCATTTTTACGTCAATAATTCTATTAGAATCAGACAGGGAAGAGACATTAACTCATTTAATTCGAAAATCTTTTCTATTTTGGCTGCAATAACATATTGTTATTATTAGCAACAAATTGAGAAAATATGACGAACACAAGTGAAATGGGCGAGTTACAGCTTTTCAACAGATTACATTCTGAATAACAGATTAATTAGGAACATTGATTCGGATAGAACACTGACTTGTTCACAAAATTTAGTTAATGGATTTTTCAATATGATAATCTCAGTACCCCTGTATTAGATATCCGGTAAACGAACTGTTTACACTGACTGAAACAAACTTAAATAATTAGAAAAATATTAAAGATTATTTCCATATAACATAATGTTTATAGACATCAATGCTGTTAGATCTTCTTTAAGAATGCTACGAAATTGTTACGGTTATGTTTCCCTGTACGAATTAAAGTGTCATGATACAAATACTGTAAAGGTGAATTCACCAAGATTAGATACGTCTATATTATTATACAAAATCCAAGCACGGGTCCATACTTTTGACAAATGTTCATCGAATCCCTTGAAAACGGCCTCGTAAATTGAACGTTAAAACACTTCAGCGGTAGCCCAGCTGATTTGTCTAAGATGTTGCATGAAAATGAAATTAAATGGGGTTTAACTTCCTAATGTTTTGCAACGACTGCGCTAGTGAAGATCGGCTTACGCCATACAGTGTGCTATGAAGGAAATTTTGAGTACAGCTTACTCCTATATCGAATGCCAACTGTCAAAGGGTCTTTTATGTGTACACCTTGGTGTACACGGGACCTCGGTTTTTCGTCCCATCCGTACGACTATCCATTGTATCAGGCCCTACGTCCTGCACCGCTGAGAAGGGCGAACCACGCCGGAAAGTTCAGAAGAACCTTCTCCACCAACACTAGGTCGAACACGGGACCTCCAGGTTAGACAACGTCGTGCTCACCAAGATGTTGCATACTGTGTTATTTAAATATGGCTGATGTAACTATCAGGGGACCGAGAATGAACCTGTGTGTATGGTGGGCCCATGGGCCACTTAGGAAGTAAATGTTTTCATGTAGTTTGGGGACCCTTTTTTAGTTTTATGACCCTAGTCTTGCATTTACGTCGTTTTTGATGAACTGGCAAGACTGCCACACGCTTATCTAAAATTGTGCAAAAGCTAGAAACACCAATATATACTCTACAAAGCACTATTACAGTCAGTTCTTCAAAAATATTCTCGCGCTCGAGGGGAGAGACTCCCACCCCACCCCACCCCATGCGTCAAATCACACCAACTTCAATTGGTATAATGAACCTTTAAGTTCTTATTCTTTGCTGCATATAACTGGATCATTTAAGACTTTGGGAGAAGAGGGTGGGGGTGCGACAATTATTGATAAAACTCGATGCAACCCCGAAAGGAAAAGCTGATGATAACAAACTCTTCTTATTTCAGGGACGCCGTGGTTGCGTCTGTAGACTATATTAATATGGAATACACCAAGTTTTCAAAAATGAGCGTCAGTACACTAAAACTTAATAATGGGCATTGACAATTGGTCGAGAATGTATCATATTAAATCTTCAGTAAATATGTCTGGTTGTAACGAATACAGACAGATCTCTTAGAGGTGAGGGTATTGAGAGGCATGTTAAAATAACTGTGGTTGGTATTGATATTAACACTGTTTAAACACCGTATAAAGATGTTAACTCACGTCCTTATGTTTAATAATCAGGTAGCAGATTGAACAAGTGTAGTTTTTATAGTGTAGCAGGTTGTACTCGAACATTTAACCAATCGATCGCTCCATCAGTTCTACTTTAAAGATGTTGTACAATATTCAAAATCGACACTTTTACAGAAAGTAGTTCATAAACACAGACGCGTGTACACAATTTCAGTGACGTTTTCAACAGTTCTGTGCAATTTACATTAATTCGTTACATTACTTACTTTATACTTTCGTAGTTTCGTATTTGAACTTTAATCAATCGATATCCAAAATACCAACCAGTACAGAAAGTAGTTAGCAGTTTCAATGCAATTATAGTTACGTTTACTTTATAGTTATTTTTTTACATTTATTTCGCTGTTAAGATTTCAATATCTTAAATGCAGTCATAGTTAAATTAACTTTGATCGCCACAATAATGTTCAAATCTTTACGAAACATAGAAAAAGTGTACCTATATATGATTCAAATTAAATACAATCTATACCATGTTTAGATTTGAAGATGTATGTATTTCAGTTCAAAAAGTGTTGAATTGGGTATCATTACTATTAACGGTGAAGCAGGTTAACGAAAACTAACCAACACATTTTTTTCCACCATAATCATAGACAACCTCTATTTTAAAAATAAATTACACAATGATGTGATTGGAAATCTCTGCATAAAGATTGACAAAAATGTTTTAGAATGACATGAAATTGTTTTATCAGAAAACTTAAGCCTGTAGTAGTGTGCGTAAATTAGAGATCTTGTAATGTTTTCGATGAATCTGTTGAGACAATAAATCACGAGAAAGGCCATTGTTGATAACATTCAACACACAATACATCTTTAATGACTGATGAAATATCAACCAGGTTTTACACGCACGTGCTCACGCGGTGTGAAGACGCGCGCTGTCTACAAGCCTCCTGTGGTTAAAATAATGTCATTCTGTCAGTCTGATCCATCTCTAATTATCTCT